TTTTGCAGCAGTCCAAGAACAGAAATGAATACAGATAGAAAGTATCATGAATAAATATTAGGACGCACAAAAACTAAAATAAGAACAGAATTAAAATAACAACATTCAAGAACATTTGGGGACAAACTACACTATAAAGTAACAGTGGTGTGATTAATTGCAGCCGGGTCAACAAGCCCATATAAACACTGCACATCAAGCCAATACAGATTCATTAATGGTACTCAAAATTTTTTTGCTTCAGGAAGTATGCAGTCAAGATTAACTCTGATCCAGTGTCCATATTCCTTGTTGTACAGGAATGTTTCATATCTGAATATTCAACACACAGCTGATGGTATTGTCAGGATGTGTGCTGTATACCGGAGAGGATCGGAGTTGCAGTGATCCAATTATCTGGAGGCAGAGTGACAAGGGTGTGCATAGTTGCCCTTGTATGTTTTTCCATTCCCAGAGTTAAGTCTGTCTGTTGAGTCCTCCGAAATCTGGCCACTCCCAACTCGTTTCACTCTCAACACCGCCAGAAACCCAGGGCAGCAGATGCAACACAATTTGTAGCACTGTTGCCTTACAGTCTGTGGTTGTTACACCACAGCTGAACTCTGTTTTCTCGCTCATTTCACACTGTGAGCATGTCTATCCACAGGGATCTAACAGTAACGCAAGTTATTATTCTTTTTACACTGTCTTCTTACACGTGGGCTTGAGGAGATAACTCGTCTGTATGCAACTTCCTGCCCAGCCCCCAGCTGTGCATGGAGCTGTTTTGTGACTGCCCTTTGTCTGGGGCCTTGGGGAGGGGTGATAAATTATATGAGCTCAGCGCTGCATACATGTTCATCACTCCCCTTGACCTGCTGGAGTCAGTCACCACCACTTCACCACTGACTCATAGGCACTGGTGATGCGTTGTGTTTGCAGAACCTCCAGCAGAGACTGACATGCCTATAAAACCCTTCCAAGACATGACAGTTATTTTGTTAAACTCGATCGAGAGCATGCTTAGTCAGAGGCCAACTTAAAGATCCAATTAAAGTTGACAGAATCAGAGATCCCCTGTCAGGTTGGAGATTAATCCAGAAAAACATTTGATAAAATATTCAAGCATACTTTGTCCCTAAGTGGCATATGTTTTCAACTTGTTAGCAGGATTTAGTTTTATAGGGAAGTTGACAAGATTGGAAGCTTTTGAAAGACTTTTGTGGGTAAACAATATATTTCCTCAGCATTTTCCCCTGAGATGGCAATGAAACATTATTTCCCACGTAGATCCACATTTAACCACACTTTTGTTTTTTTACTTCACCACAAGGTCAAAGTCTCAGGAGGAGTTGTATTTCCTAAATTCAAAAGAATTTGATTTTACAATATACGCTGTGGTTATTTACACTTTTCCTCATTTTCTGTTGAGTTGTGCTTACTGCATGTTCAAATGAACAATGTGTCTACACATTTTTTACATTATTTGCTCGGTTTTGAGAAGGTCTTATGAGTTTGAGGGAATTTTCTCGAACCATCTTGAAACATCAAAGTCAGCAACGTCGGAGATATACCGTTTTCACCAGACAACACGACACTGAATTGATTCTTTCACAGAGAATACAATCATCAGTTGCAGCCAGTCTTCATCAATAACCAACAAAGTGACGAATGTCTCTGTGACAAAGAATGAAGGCAGAAGAAGTATACTGTAGATGTACAACATAAACAAGAATGGCTTTTCTGGGAAAACAGTAAAACACAGATTCAATCTCAAAACATTTGAGCTGGAAGGAGTTTGCACCAACCTCATTGAGCCTTTTCAGGCAACGTGTGCAGCAACTGGGTGTTTGCTGACACATTTCGTAACATCTGTTTACCCTAAGAAAGTTATCGGGAAGAACTGAAGTAATCAATTGAATTATCTTTAGCACACATTCTGCATAATAAGATATATAAGATATGATGTAATGCTATTTTGAAAGTCTTTTGTGCTATGTCATCACTAATATGAGCGCATAACAATTATGAACCGACACATTAAGGAGCGCTTTGCAAGGCAGAATTGTCCAACCAAGTCATGCAACATTCGATCTGACGCCAGCTTCACTCTGAGCACATTTTAAAGCGACTCTCATTTTGAGCCCATTCCCGGTGTCTGCCATTTTCTCAGTGGGTTGTAACCATGGAGGCTGTTGTGTTGGGTGCAGCACTTCCACAGCTTTTCTTTACTAGCAATTAGACGCTGCAGGATTCGCTCAATTTTTACCTCCATTGCAATCATCTCTGTCTGACTGTGCTTATTTCTCAATTAGAAACACAACATGAATTAGAGAAAACTAAATTGCTTCAAGATATGCTCGGTCTTCAATGCTTTGTCTACAGTATTACTGTATCACATACTTTGCCCATATGAGATATTTCAGGTATTAGTTTGCACCAATCAAACAAACAGTAAATCATTGTGCTGACACACAGCTTTGTCAAAGGTCTGAATCAGTAGCTAAATGGACATTTGGATTGTTTTTATTTCACTTATTAATTACTGATTTTCATCTCTATAAACAGATTATGCTATCATATGAAGACCACAGGACAAGATTTTGGCATTCCAAGCATTTTGGTTTCTGTTAGTAGACTGTGTAGTATTATTGACCAATCAGGGTCGAGCAGGCTTTGGTAAACTCCTTATGGAGAGCAAAAGAGGTGTAACGCATTGGCTGAAATTCAACCTAGGAACATACCGACTATCGTCTCACGATGATTTACCTTTTTATTGGTTTGAAAATACCTTGTAAACTGGCTACTTGTGTGAAACAATCCGGTTATACACGTCGTCTCAAAACTCACACTCGCATCTCAAATTGTTAATCGGACTGTAAGCAATGAGCAGCACAGAAAAAGAAGTCTTGGCCCAGCTATCTCCTATCAGGGCCCAGAAATGTAGCCCCTTTGCGCCCAGAGGCTTATCCATCATCAGAGCTGATGGGTTCTGAGAGTAATTACTGATGTACTAGATGGCATATAGTTTTAATTGTGAGAAACACAAACACCATAGCTACTCACTGACAAGGACGTTGTTGTATTTAATCTTTGCTCTGATAGCTAAGTCTGAATCACAACAAAATAACCAATGTCCGAAGCAACATTGAAGGTTTTCTGCAGTTTACAGCATCCCCCAATTAATTAAAACGTCATGCGCTGGGCGTATTGGTCTAAAGGTTACATGGCCATATGTACTGTGTAATGTCAGATGAAAAGGCTTTGTCTGATGTGTTTTGTTTTGCCATGGTCCACCCTATTAACAGTTGCATGCCTGCTGTCTGCCAGCTGCCGTGCCTGCTGTAACAGCCAGCACAGTGCTGGAATGTTCCCATGCAGGTCCTCCATTCTCTCACACTGACATGCAGCTTGTGTACACAGACCTACAGTTTGTTGAACACATGCAGTCCTGGCACAAGAGCTATGATATATACACGGATAAAACATGTTTATTATAAATGACTAATACTTCTTTGTCATGGTTGTCATGTTGACCTTTCAGAGATTCAGGTCACAATATGTTCGGAGAATATATGTGCAGGAATTGCAGATCTGTATTGTTGGACATTCACAGAAGCAGATTTACAGAAAAAAGAAAAGTTAGCTGACTCTTATGCTGCATCACGAACCAAAACCATTGAAGGCAAACAAAAAACTAATGAATAAATGTGCATGGTGGATTAAGAATAAAAAACGTTTTTAGGGAAAAAATAGTGATATTGTCTTTGCAACGCTGAAGTTGACCAGTTAAATATTTGCCTTTCGGGGGCTTTTGTGTATGCCATGTTTGGCAGATGCCCTGTTTGGCCATGAAACAACCCATTGAGAGTTGCCACTTGGCCACCAGTGAAAAGACTGAATTGGATTAGGGGGTGCTCAGAACTCCTTGGATACCGGATACCAGTACACTGGATTGATGGAGATTGGCATTGTTTCTGTTAAGGCCTCATTTTTGTTAAAGACTGCAATTCATCCCAGTCCACATACGTAATGCCAGAGATGAGACATATCTTTAAAATTAGACACCTTATTTATCCATGAACATGTGGGTATGCATGAAGGGCATATGAAAATAAGAATACTTCTGTTTTGTTTTCCCACTAACACTGTGACTCTACATGCATGTGCGAGTGTAGATTATAATGGGTGAACTAATACATGCATGATTGCATGCATATATGTATCGAAATGAAAATTGGAATTGGTAGAAGGGGAGTTGGAATGGGATGTTTTGGGGATGGGATAACAGTAACTATCTACATGTGTATTTACATTATTATGTAATAATAATTAATATGTTAATTCAAGTTAAAAATCAGACTTTTTTTTTTACTCACAAGAGGTCAGCAGAACTATTGTCAGTGTGGGCATCTAACTTATTACTTCATTCAAGTCACAGAACTTCCACTAGAAAATGTAGTCACAACAAAAAATGTTATCATACATTGGATGTTTTTTTTTATCCAGATGGTTAGAAAGATTGTGAAATATTCCTTCAGAAAAGCAGTGTGTTGTTTAACATTCTTGGTCATTTATTTTTGTGATAAACAAATACTCTCTGACTGAGGTGTAATGGTACATGAGATGCACAAACCAGTGTTAGAATAATCCCTGACTCTGCAGTTTAATTGGTGGTCTCATGACCTGCGATAACATCCCATATCTGTCTGCTGTCAGGTTGACACAACTGACCTGATAACACTTAATCCTCCACATTGGCTTGCTTTTTGTAAAGAACAATAGTATAAAGAAGCAACAATAATAATCTTGATTGAAATCCGTTTATTTGATTGGCTTGCTGAACATGATAAACGTTATCTCTCGTGTGTCTATGGGGGACTTTGTAAGCGGCTGATGATGAGTTGATGACCAGCGAAACTTCCTGAGGAGGGCTGAGAAGATGGGGGGGCGTCCTCCCATCAGTAATCCCCCTCCGCGGTGACGTCAGCCAGGCTGTCTCCAAAGGGACGCGCGGCGTTGAGTGTTTGAGCAGCCAGGCGGCCAGTGTGCATCCCAGGACGCAGCATCAGTGTAGCTGGGGCTCAACTTTCAGCTGATCGCTTCACTTCGGACACTTTGGGAAACTAACAACAATGGGTACGTTTGTTTTGTTGTTCTTACCTATATATGCTCCAGTGGCCTTTAGTAGAAGACGGATATAAATATCGCCGTTTTTTTTGTTTTTTTCATGATGACAGCATATGGCTCATACTTTGTTACTGTCGCGCAAACTTTCTGGGAAAGCCGATTTTTTTTTTTTTTTTTAACGTTCACTCAGCTCCTTCTGCTGCTGCAGAGATAGGCTGTTTACCTGACCCGGATTCACGAGAACCGGCATTAGAACAGCCTGCTGAAGCAACTTGAGGAAAGCGATTAGAGAGATTAAGTCCAGCTGGATTCCTGCAGTCAACTCTATGCGAGTCTGCGGAGGTGTTAAATCCAGATCAACATGCTGCCTCTACTGTCTCTCTCACTGTTGCTTTCAATAGGACCTCAGTGCTGAACTATTGAGATGAGCTATTTGATGAAAACCTGACTTCTCTTTATGATCATTATTGGTCAGCAGTGATTGATCATGGTGCTGTGTTTGATAACGATTGTCATGTAAAGGTATTTCCTAAACCAAACTGCACAGCATCTTCTGCCGGTAATGAATGACTAATAGTTACTGGAAAAAAAACCTAACGGGCAACATATTGTGTTAGTCAGACGCTCCATAGCTGAAGCCTGCATGCTATGTGTTATGCCAGAACTTGTAATTGCTCTGTGAAGGGCTGAGCTGGGACTGTCTCATCTTTAAAAACAGTCCCAAGTGTTTACCATCTGTGCTCCCAAGATGGGGAGGGGAGGGGGGTGCATGGGAGGATTGAGGCGCTGATGCTATGGATGTTTAACTTCTCGCTAACTTTAAGTCTTTGAAAGAGTGATAAACTATGGACCAGATGGGATAGTTGACATGAAAAACACTCATCCTGCTCTGGGGTAGATGGTTTATAGTAAAAAAAAATGACTCAGATTGGATCCAATTATTGTAATTTTACCATTTTGAGATTTTTGTGTTGGTTTTTGGTCAGCATTTATTGGCCTGTGTTGTTTGCCACGGTGCAGCTGAGGCCAGCGAAGAACGCTGTGTGCAAATGTGTATCAATGCTCATTAATTCGCTCTGAAGCTCTCACAGAGGCGTCTTTGTGCTTCTAATTTGGAGCTGCTCCTTTGTACGACTTCAGTGGCTCTTAATGTAGAGAGAGAAGTTCACAGCATTGCAAGTTTCAGAGCGGATGCCCTGTGAACTAATTCCCGACAGACCCTCTTTCACTGTCTCGCGGAGGATATTACTCTGCACGGCAATCAACCTTTGTGCATGTCCACTTGCTAAAGCTCCCAATATTTTTATTCAAAGATTCTCCATGACTCTTTTCAGGAGAAGTAGCCTGTTGTTGTGGGCAGGAGTAGGTTCATTTGGAGAGTTGCTATTTGCTGTTGAGGTTTCCTTTTGTTCGGTCAGAGAAACTGACACCGTACTGCTGTGATTTGCCGTTTCATGTGAAATAGCTTTGAAGACAGAAAATGGAGTAACTGTGTACATGAATCCTTTTAGCCCCAAAATAAACAAGATGTCTTGAAGGCGATTTTGTGTGGAGCTGTGAAGTGAAGATGTCGTTCAGAGGTTATATAACCTATGTCTGATTTGATTTTACAGTGACCTTCACCTCGCAGAGGGGCCACATGTTTTTAAGAGGAATTCTCCTCTGTCCTTGCGGCGAACGGTTTAACAGTGCATTGGCCTGTGTGAGGGACGTGGGAGGATAACTTGGCCTCAGTCCGCTGTGCTCGATTCAGAGGGAGACAGCCAGTCGTTTTCCACAAATATCCTGTTAGGTTCTTCTTGGTGTTTATCCTGTGACAATTACTCACCCAACAGTGTTTGGTTACCAAGAGTTACTAGATAACTAAACACACATGAAAGGATCGTGGCTTCAGTTCTACGTAGATATTTCATCGCTTAACCCAACATCTGAAGAGAGAGCCTGAAGACAAAAATACATGTGATGATCATGCTGATTTTACCAAGAAAAGCATGACATGGCGCTTCATAAAAAGCTTAATCGTTTGTCTTTGCTGCAGATTGTAGCCCCTGAACTAGATAAGAAATCAAACATAAGCAAAGTTTATATTTTATTTTTCACAATGGAAAACAGTTTAGAAACTCTCAGTCTCATTCAGTGTGGAAGATTTGCCATCGTTTCGATTTATGTCTTTTGCAGATACAATTTGATTATGTGCTTGACATTTAAAGCTGTCTTATGACAGAAGATTCAACTAATCAAATACAGCAAATTATGGACACGGCTATGAACAGTGTGTGTCTGTTCTTCTTGCAGCCAGATTCTGATCGCAAAAAAAAAAAAAGAAAGAAGAAGGAAAGATTGTTTTTCCTTATGGAAACTCGTGAACCCTCTAGTCTGAGTGTTTTGTATTCAGCTTGGTGGTCTTGTGGAAAAGGTCATCAAGGTTGGATGCAAACCAGATCCAAGTGTTACATCATTGTTTTTGAGTATTTCAAGTAAAGAGAGTAAATCACAGCTGACAGTTTTCAATGTGTCTTAAATTAAACATCTTGCTGTAGTATATGTAATATATATATATATATATATATATATATATATATATATATATATAGTTACTGACACATGGGTTGCTAGTGTACAAGTAGAGGCTTAAACCTGATGTCAAATGTTATAGTCTCTATTTATAGTGAAGACTTTTTCCGATTCTGTTCTTCAATGATCCACAAACACAGGGGTTGGGCAGTGTCCTTCATAATGATTTTTACATGTGTCTCCAAGGTGTCCGCTGCCTCATGCTCTTTAACGCGAACGCCTCCTCCATCTGAACTAGGATGTCTGGAAAGTGTCCGATTATTTAGCTCACACATCAGCAGTGATCACTGTCACGGACACATGTGTTGTGACCCTGCATCCTGAGTCTGAAGAGAGGAAAGACCCATGACTGCTAACGCTGTGCCGGCGGAGGTGTTTTTGTGCTCTGGGAATCAACAACTTGTCATCTGACGGCAGAGCAATAACAGAGAGTCAGATAAATTCCCCCTGCTTTTAGTTGAGTCATGGCGAAATGGTCCTCAGAGGCATGTCGTAGGTCATGCACATGCTTCTGTTTCCAAGAGATACAAGGAGGGAAAAAAAAACCCCACAAGTCTGCAAGAATGAGTCACTGCAGAGATGGTCAAAGGGTAAGAGCGAAACTGAACTTTCTTGTTTTGTGTTTGTTTGTTCGATTCAAAGCATTCTCTTATTTACTCCAAAAAGATGCCCTCCGTGAGTTCAGTCCAAATAAAGTACGCGCTAACCTTGTTTTTTATGACTGATCCCCACATTTTTATGTCACCATCAATAATTCCTAAATTGCTTTTCGTCTTTGGTTTGCAATCATTAATTAATTATACTGAACATCCCCCATAATGAGGTAGTCACTGTCATAGTTACATGATTTCTGGGCTTCTTTCCATTTGGCATAGGATATCACCGAGCCTATTTGGTAATTATAGAGCAGATGAGGCCCCATACAGTACTTTTTGCAACTTTGCAGCTCTAAATAAAAAAGAGAACCAGCTAGTTCAATCAAGACCTCATTCATCTACTGCTTTCCTTCCTACTCCACTTCATTTCCTCCTCTCTCTCTCTGGGTTTCCTTTCCTCTCTCATCACGGCTCTCCTCTGCCTTTATACATTTTTTTTGTTTCTCTCCAGCCCTGCAGGTCTGCCAGAGCAGTCATGATAATTTGTTGAGCTTAATAACTCCTCCGACAACAAAGAAGGCCATTGAGTATTGTGACATGAAATGATAGGAATAGAAGTTCCTGAGTGGGGATGCTCGTTGAAGCAAGTGCCTTGGCTGTCACTTCTACTAAAAGCCTATTCACAGTTGAACAGAAGGGATGCAAGTGGTTGCATGGGCAACTCTGTGTATGTGTGTGTGTGTGTGTGCAAGTTTGTCCTTGTTGGAGAGATGTCACAGTGAAACTGCCACATGGTAGAAACAGGATGGCATTTAAATATCTGAAAATAGTCCCTATATGCAAAACACCCACATTTTTCAAGGTTAAAGTGTGAAATACATGCATAATACGGTCTAATTTATGTTTTTTTCTTCATTTTGACAATATGTTGGCATCAGTGCATGTTCATATAGTGCAGTGGTGATATTTGCTAGTGAAGCTGCAATCTATCAGTGTTTTGTTCACAGTCAGAGGGTCAGAGGATTGTTCCAGAAGGTCTGAGGGAAATAATAGATTGGGGAAAGCAAAGAGCCCCTGCAGCTGACGAACATTCACTCACTCATTCAACAGGGATTCAGCGCTACTGCAGGGGTTTCTCCCATCTACTGTAAACCACATTGCAGCAACTCTGTATGACCACATTTGCTACAGCACCAAAAACACTGCGTCTGCCTTGATTCACTCTCTCCCAATCCCACGAGCAGGGGACATTGATTAAATAGTCAATAATGTTTTCACCGAATGACCTATTTTCCTGTTCCAGTCTTTGGTAAACAAGAAAATGGATCATAATGCAGTCAATGTTAAGAGTGGCTGAACAGTGTGATTGATGCCTGCGGCAGAGAGGGGCTATGCGAACTAGTGCGTCAAATACCGAGGATTGGTCACTCGCCCAAAACTTCAAACTATGTCACTCTAGCGTCAGTTTTGGAATGCATCAGAGACATTGTGTCAATATAGGCTCGTTACATGGATAGTGTCCTATTGTTTTCAAAGTACATTTCCATCTTCACAGGAAGTTAGGTTTAGGCAACAAAACCACATAGTTAGGTTTAGGAAAATATTGTGGTTGATGTTAACTTTTAGTATGGCTTTTATTTAAGGTGCCTAGTCATTGATTGTCTTAGTTTTTAAGTCTGAAAAAGTCTCAAAGGTTTTCAGCCTGTTTTAACATTGTATTGTGTATTGTTGTAATGTTTAGTCTTGCAAAATGATATTGTATTGTTGTCTTTTATTTTTTTTATTTGCTCTGTGAAGCATTTTGGGCTCCATGATAGGTGCTATCTAAATTGAGTTGAGTTCAGACTAAGTACTCAAGTTACTTCTGAGTGACGTGACTATAGCGAATCCCATAAACCATGTGTCTAATGATTGACGTGTCAATACGCGTCAACATTGACTTTTAGTTTCACATGGAACAGGAACAGCGGCGAAAGTCCTGTGTTTGTTTGACCTATCCGCAAACAGCATCCGAAACCATCGCCTCTCCCATAGACTTTATATAAGAAGTGGATGTAGTCACTGTGACATCACCCATTGGTTTGGGAAGTACCGTTCTGAAGTCATTAAAAGATCCCCTCTCAATGTCCTTCAGATGTAAGTGGTGCTTGCTCAGTATCTCCCTTCAGACACCTGTTGGATTTGTCAAAGATGCAAAGTTGATATTTTTCCACACTCTTATCATCAGAGAGGGGGGTGAGGATGTGTGTCTGTCAGCTAAGATGGTTGGTTCTTTCAACACAATGTATTAATTCTTCCTATTTTGGGAGAAAGTGCATTTAGGACTTCGATGTAACCACAGTTCAGATGGTAAAGCAGTTAGGTGAAATGACAAGAAATAATAGGGCCTCCAGCTAATTTCCCTGCAAGATCATCTGTGAGGAGTGAGAGCAGAATGCATTAGTCTGCTTTTCAACTGTGGGAGCCTGTAGGATTGAGCTGTTGGCTGTGTGCCCACTGAGTGTATTCAACCCTCTACAGATAGGTCTTTGTCCTCTGCGCTTTAACGCAGCTGCTAAACAACCGTAAGACAAAAGCATCTGGGGTACCCCAGCACACCAATGAGAAATGTTCACCATATGAAGAGCCCTGCCAGACAGCCTGAGACCATTTGGAAGCAACCAAATGCTATGCATGGGATGAATTAAGCAGGAATTTAAATGAATACCCATGTAAACCCTTGTGACTTTTTCTTTGCCCCTATATTCAGAATTATTTGTGAAATCCTACTCAAGATATTCAAAGACGTTTTTTTTGACGATACTGTCATAAAAGCGAACCTTGTGAAGACTTGTCTGCAACACAGCTTGTTGCTTATCCAAGTTGTGGCAGGAAATGCACATGATGGTGCTGCATGTGACACAGTGAAACCAGAGTTAGAAGCCACTTGACACACACACACACACACACACACTCTCTCTGTCGCCAGCCAGGAATCATTTTCCTGCCAAAGAAAAAGTTTTTTAAGTTAGACATTTTATTGTCTGCTTATTGTCCTCCAGAGAATGTCTTGATATGCAGGAGGGGGCACTTCTGCCAAGCAGAAGAAAATCTGCGATCGCTGAGCTTTTAGAAAGCAACAGCTGCAAGGAAACCCAATAGCTGAGGGAGAGCGTTTGGCGAGACTGTTTTGGGGATGGATTTCAATTTGACTCAATTGTTGAACGGTTTTGTAGAAAAAATGTAGTGTATTCAACTGAGTTACACTTTTACCATTTATACACACAAGCTTTTTTATCACTTACTGTTAGGGCTAAACGACTTTATAACAATATGTAATTGCAATTATTTTGACTGATATTGCAAATATGATTTACTATATTAGAGGGATTGATTATATTCACATTGTTATTGTCATGTTCCTTGAAAATTAGATTAAAATTATTATGGTGTGATTTTGTGGGGATCTGTACCAAACAAAGATGTAGAATATGATGTGTAGGCCGGGAAATCCCTTCAGCACAACATATTGCACCTTGCCATATTATGACTCTTTCAATTAATTGTGCAGCCCTACTCACTGTAGGTTCACTTGAGAGGAAATGAGAAACTTACCAGCTAACAGCGGCTTCAGGGGAGAGGAAATCCCAGATGTTTCTGTCTGAAAAACAGGTTGACCCTGTAAACCACACGCAGACCAGAGGAGAGATCAGTCAGCAGTATGAACGTTACAGCTACGCCACTGAGAGCTCTCATAAGTCATCTTAGCTTTTGACCTCCACTCTATGGAAAAACAATACGGTAACAATGGTGTCCACGGCTGAAAATGGGAAAGTAATGTTGTGAAGGAACGGAGCATCTGGAATGTATAGAGCAAGCTTCCTGCAACTGAACACATGTTGAGAGAGAGAGAGAGAGAGAGAGAGAGAGAGAGAGAGAGAGAGAGAGGTATTAGCATTAAGAGTTGCTTTGTGTTTGTTGTTGCTAGGCAGGTTCAGACTAAACATTTTCCAAGACAATATAAGAACATCATCTTCTGTATTTATTGATTTCAAAGTTATTTGAATTTGAGGCACTGACTCGTCCTGTTTCTTTTCACACTTAAAGCTGCACATCTTCTAAAAGAAACAAAGTAAACAGTGTTTTATTTCTTCATTGACAGTTATGACACGGTTATGCAAATGAGTTTAAATCAGTTTCTAGTGCCAAAGTGTTCTGCAAACACAGATTGAAGCACTTCTTTTTGCATACAAAATGATTTAACAAACATGACTCTCTTTTGATGTATTATCAGACCGGTGGTTCCATCAAGTTTGCACAGACTGAGAGTGAGAGTGTAAATCTTTAGACACTAATAATGATGTAGTGACTGTATCACATCTGATGGTGCCATAAATGGGTTTTTTCATTGCACAGTAGATGCTACAAAGTGTCCAGTATGATGGACAAAAGGGTATTACCGCCTGTTCTGTTGGGAAAACTGTACTTAAAGCAGTAAAGTAATGGATTGACCCACTCTCGCAGAGTTCAGCCAGGGCAGAGTATACGAACCACTAGAGAGATTAGCTCCTATCTTTCTCTTGCAATGAGCTGTATTAGCCACTTATTGTTAAGAACTTAGTCCACGTCTAAACCGCTTCCATCATGAATCTGAGGACAAACAAATCCCTGCAGGGGTGGAAGTGTCAGGTTCAGGTTGCGGCCGACTCCCTGTCCTTCCAGGATCCATCCGCGGGACGCAGGGCTTAGAGACAAGAGAGAAGAGCCTCGTGGAACAATGGCATTAAAGTGATCTCCGTGTCATCTGCTCTGTTGTCATAGTGCTGGCGATGAATCCTGACACGGTGGAGTCCAAGTGGCTACTATGTTTCACTGGCTGGGGCTAAAAGGAGGAGGTTTCTACTCCTTCTAATGAGGGATGGGGGGAACAGAGAAGAGGAGGGTTTGAAAAGGGTAAAGTCTTGGGTCAAGGGTGAGAGGTTGGCAGCGTGAAGCGGAGGACAATAGGATTGGCGGGTGACACGCAGAGAAAGAAATCCCAGCAGCTGGGATAGACAGAGAGGGTGGGGGCTGTTCATGGGAAGCAACTCCAAGATTAGCTGGAAAGTCTCATCTAATGTCCCCATGTCTCTGTGCTTCATTATGTCTCTATTGTGTGTGTGTGTGTGTGTGTGTGTGTGTGTTCACATGCTTTTGCCCTGTGCAACAAGTAGGAAAATGAAAGACTGTCTCGAGCCCTGTGTTATTTGGCATCTCAGCACCTGGAGTGTGAGAACGTTTGAGTTGTGGAGATCCTAATCAGTGTAAGAATGACATCTGTAGAAACATTTTGCTTTCAAACTATTTCTAGGTCTCCTGGCACAACATGCTAGATCTTCTTTACAAACATCCATATAAAATGTCTCATGCCAAAAATACATTCAACTGGAGCTGGTTATTCAGGTTTGATGTTATCATCACTCAATATCAGCATGCTTGTGTTGTTAAATTTCCCAAAGAATATTCATAAATCAATAACATTATGTGCACATCTGTACAAGACTAAACAAATAACCTGCTAACTACCTTAAGATTCAAAGTGACTGCCGTCCTGTCATTCATGGATTATAAAAGGAAACTCAGTGGCCTTTGTCTGGAGCTAAATAAACAAATGCTTACAGTGATGGATATTGTATTTCAAGGATCAACACCACAAAGGGAAGTCCCTGGGGGGCTTATTTATACTCTGTGCAGTTTAATAGACCGTCAGACATTTAAAATGGCTTTGTAAGGTGCTCAGTGTCAAAATGACTGCAAAGTGGCTGCAGTTTGCACTTAATCTGTGCAGAGAAAAGATTGATATACAGAGAGTATAGACAGATTAAATCAGGTTAGAATTACATCTGCACCTTAAAGGGCCATAATTACATGTACATGAAGGAGCTTTAAAGCGGCTTTAATCAATATTCTTCTATTAACAATGGACCACATGAGTATTTGTATGTGGAAGATGTTGCTCATCGTGACAAATCCACAGAACTTTAACACCTGACTTTGCAGTTCTGCTTTATAGCATCTCAGCTCATTGCTTTGGTTTTCATGGTTTGCAGCTGTTTTCAGTGAATCGCTCTACGCTACCTCTTCAGCAGCAAATGACCGACAAACAAAGATCCCTATTAGCTGGCGACCATAGTGGAACGTGTAGCACCTGAACAGCCAGATATTTCCCTCAAGAGTTTGTGGAGACCAAAAGGAGACCATGTTTCTGCCAGATATAGTATAAGTAGATATACTTTGGGGTAAATGCTTTTTTCTCTCACAAATAATCTTTCCTGAAGCTCGTCTATTTTGGGGGAACTGCTGAACGTGTTGGGGAATAAAAGCGTTTTTTAAACCCCTTATTTTTTCTTAGAGTCAACTATTCAGGAGTTGCTGGGTATTTTCATTTCCTCCATTTCTTGGCAAAGTATTATCACAATATAGATTGAAAAAGACAAGAGGTTATTATCTAGCATTATTCCAACTGGATAATGGAGAGGTGTTTGCTTGCAGTACCTTTTGGCGGGTTCATTGGCTGCATAATGTAAGAGTGGCAGAACCACAAAGACGGCAAAAAGCCTCTTCCAGACCGGAGGCATCATTAAAGTATTTACTGTACGCTGAAAGAGAAAAACAAACAATTATGCAGACCTTTACTTTTCTCTAAAATGGCAGCAATACGGCCTGTATGGGACGTGGTGGGGTACTATAAAAACGCCTTATCTCTATCTTTCACTCTTTTCCAGGTTTCTGTTTCCTGGCATTGATTTGCTCTTTTGACTCCAGATTAAAGTTGTGAAATTCTTAGTGTGAAGGTTTTGACATTGTATTGGTTTTCTGTCCGGCACACGCCATAGTGGCAGTTTCCAAGGTACTGTAAGCTAGGAAGCCTGGATAATAGGAAGCATCTGTGGCGCTCACTGCAACACACTTTGGCCAAAACCACAGTGGCTGTGGAGGTGCCAGAGTCGAGAGGATTGTGAAGTCATTTTTTGAAGAAAAACATGGCTGCCAGGCATCCTCGAGTAAGTGTTTTGCTCCATTTCCAGACCTAACATGATGGAGTATCACAAACATGCAATTAGTGAAGTACTGAGTCAGATACTTTGGGCATTGTTTGGTCAAACACTTGTAATTACAATGGAGAGAAAAATTCCATCTGGAAATTGTACAGTGGAAGAAACGCCAAGACATAAATGTGTCTATAAGAAATGGCTGGAATTGAATAGCAGAGCTGGATTACCGCTTTTTCAGCATATGCCTTCACATCTTTACAGGGGTTTGGGAGAATACTTTTATATGTGGAAACAATTGTAAGAAGTCTTTTGTGGCTACAAAGGGACCTGTGAGTGTGAAGTCTGATAAATTGCCTCAAGTGATATTCACCTGAGTCAGCATTGGTTGATGCTGAAGACTACAAGTTACAAGTAACACAGTGAGCTTACCGTGTACTGTATCTCAAGGCTACATTAGCTGCTTCTAGCATAATACATCCGAATCGCTGACTCAACTGTTGCATTGTGGGTAATGTAGGTGCCTGGATTCGACAAGGAAGAAGATGAATGCATTGAATTACATAGACTTTTTGTTTTAAACAGTCCAATGTAAGACAAACATCAGAGGCGCTCATTCAAGTATAAAGGTTGAAAAGCCTTTATTTAAGTATGACACCATAATGATTCAAATACCCTTTAACCTTCACTCTACTCCAACACTGAGTGTATGGAAGATTTTTTTTCTGGCTATACACACAATGTTGATATCCCTTAGTTTATAGCTTCTTGCCAGGGCCAAAGGGAAGCAAAATGATCATTATAAGTCAGACCCCTGTGGTTTTCCATCTCACAATCCACATATTTTGCTGTAATGGACGAGGACAGTTAGCATATTCATTTCGTTCCATTGCAGAGAGAGACTTTTCCTAGAAAATATGAATACAATTCAGGCTCATGTTGGTTGGATTTACATGGAAGAATTAGCTGTTCTTCTCGGGTGAGTTTGAGTCATGCATTTTGATGTATTGACTGTTATAACTAATCATATTTCATAACTGAATTGTTGACCAAAATTTGTACAGAATTTGTAATGCGTTTTGTTATTCTGTAGACTCGCAGAGGAAAATGGGTCAACAAAACAAGTGAATGGATCTGTGTAATGGGCAGGTAGTGTGCTGCTTTTGTAAACCAATCAATGACTTAGATTCAGCACGCCAAACATGACGGCAGACATACAGAGCAGATTGACCTATGAAAATGGCCTGCATTTAAATCCAGGACAGTAATACCACCACAGTACATTGGAAGGAAATTCACTGACTGCAACACATTGCCAAAACAAGGTTTACAGGAATCTCTGTCTCAAATGTGGTTATATACCACAAATCACTGCAAGAAATGAAATGCTACAGCTTTTTTCCATGAGAGCAGCAAAATATTCCTCATCTGCTCTGCTCTGGTGGGATGAGCCTGCTTTCCTCAGGCCGTTGCCATGTGCTGGTAAGGGGAACTCGGGGCCTGGGCACTTGCCTGCATCCCTGAGAACCCAGTCCTCACTGTGAGCCAAGCGGGGTGCAGGTCTTCACGGGTGACTGAACACTGAGGAGCATTCAGGGCCCCCGGTCTCACAGCGTGAAAGGTTGACCCACAATGAAGCCTCCTCCATTTGTATAAGCTTCATCATCATTCAAATTGTGTCTTCAAGTAGGGGAGTGGCGCTGTCTCGACACTGGAGCGGAGCATGCAGCTCTCAGGCTTGGCCTCCTGTGTTCACGTGAATATTCCCACAGCCACTCAGTCTGTCACAGTGTTTTTGGTAAAGCTCCAATCAGTCTGTTGCTCTTTATATGTATAATACCTTCCTTGCTTTATTCATTTCTGACGTTCAAGCTTCTTTTCTAGCTTATTGTTTTGATTTAAGGTTATTACATTTACTGTGTTGTTCAGTTTCTCTTCTCAAAATCAACCCTGTTGCCAGCAGCAGGCAGCTGTTTCCAGCAAAATAAAAATGAATACACACTGTGCTACCTGCCCAGGGAGTTGAACATCTAACTACTGAAGAGCGAGATATTAATCTCAAGAGTTGATGGAGACCAAAACAGAGCTCAAAGCAGAGTGAATGTTATATTTGTCAGCCAGAACTTTAAATTATTTCTATTGAACACAAAGTAGACGTAATATTGTACATTTGATTCCTAGAATTAGGTTAATTGCATTAGCTGAGATCATTCATGCTTCACAATCACTGGCTCATTCACCAGTTGCTTGGCTACTAGCTGAGTAGTTATGTAAAACCAAACAGCAACCATTTGCTATAGTTGGCTTTCATTGACATGTGTGTCTCTGACTGAAACAGGGGTTAAAGCCAAGATTGAGGATATGAAAATCTCTCATAATCAGTGTTTTATTGAGTTATTATTTGCCTTCAGAGGATAAGGCAGGATAACGAGCACTGTAACAAAACTATACATGCTGAATTTCTATTTCTGAGCCAACAGTCAATGCATGACTTTTCTTCTGTTAAAGAACACTTTGTTAACTTTGGTTTTCCCTAGCTTAAGATCCCAGCCAAAAAAACATTATTTTAATTCCTTTTTTCCAATCAAAAGCATATGTTGATGCTTATGTTTATGCTGAAAACCCAATTCGACCAGGCCTGATCACATGTTTTGAATTTCCTTTTGCGTGTGTGCAACAAACTCAATCATTTTGTTGTTTATTCACATTTAGAAAAGGGTTCAGATGGATCCTTGGCTTGGTGTACTCGGTAATACGGATCTGCCTCTTTGTGGTTAAGTGTGTGACACATTTACTCTTGCGTATCAACGGCTTTTCTTTTGAAGCTTCACTTGAGCTCCTCGTTACGATTAATGGGGAAATCACAAGCACAGCTACCTCGAAATCAGCTGTAGAAATCAAACCACCATCACTGCTGCTGATGGGCTGGAGGCTCCCTTCCCCACATCACAAGGATGTCAGTTCTCCTGGTGTTTTACAGGGCTGATGATGAAAAAGCTAGAAGATTAGTGCGGCATTTGTTGTTGTGGGATCCCCGCTAAGTTCACTTCCCTGACCCCTGAAGCTCCCCTCCCCTGCTGATCCCCCTCCTCTCTGAGGTCTGGTATCCGTGAGAAGACCCTACTCCAGCTCCGCTCCAGCAGGGCTCTCCCCCCACTGCTGAAAGGCCTTTCTCTCATTAGCATGCCCCTGGGGCTTCTTGCCCTGCTGTTGCCAAACAAACACAGCCAAGATCTTCTTCCCTGTCTCCTCGCTGTCTGTTTCGCCAGTCATCTCTGGCTTATCTTGAACAAGTTGTTTCTCATCGTATCATCCTCTAATCATTCTCTATTTTTTCCGACCTTTTATCAGCATTCTTCATGTTTCTGTCGTTGGGATTGTCTGGATTTCCCATTTTCAGATGCTGTTTCCTCTGCCCCGAGGACGCTCTGTGTCCTTGTTAAGGAAATGTAGATCTGCCTTTCTTTCCTGTGTCCTTTTTATGTGAGTTAGAGGCCACCAGATGGAGGGAAGACGGCGGTCAGAGGTTGCTAATGTATGCTGCAGGAGCAGAGGGCATATGGTGCCAATCAAAAGATGAAGGGCTAACCCCCCCAGCCACACTACACCACCACAGCACGCCCGCGCACACACACACTCCCCCTTTCTTGAACTGTGGTCAGATGTGAACTAGAGAGAGGTGATTGTGTGCCTATATGCTTTCTGTCCCAGCCTGTACAACAGAGAAGGGTTTTCACCCACTCTAAAGAAAGGGTCCGTACTCACCCATCTGCACCCGAGCCTGTTCTCATCGGATTGCTATTCAGGGTTGCGCTTCGGTTTCTCAGACAGGCACGCCTGAGAGGAGGGAGTGTGTTAAGGGCATTCACGAAGATTTGCTTGTCATTAAGAGGGCAAATTAATTTGACTTAGACTGAACTGCAAAACAGTCATAACAAACACCACAGATGCACATTTTGCCTGTGAAACAAGGATTTACGAGACGTATGACTGGGGCTCAACCACATCTCTTCTGACAAGACCTCTGTCTCTTGTAAAGGAACTGGGATGTACAGTTGAGCGGTGCCTTTGTGAGGCAGGACGAGACGAAAAGAGTGAAAGTAGAGGAGAGAGAGAGGGAGAGAGAGAGAGAGAGAGAGAGAGAGAGAGAGAGAGAGAGAGAGAG